TATTATTATATTTTTTTTATTATATTATTATTGTATTATTATTATTATATAATTATTATTATATTATTATAATTATATTATATTACTATTACATTATTATTATTTTGTTATTATATAATTATTATTATATTATTATTATTATAAGTATATTATTAATATTATTATATTATTATTATTATTATTATGTTATTATTATCAATATTATACTATTATTATTATATTATTATCAATATTATACTATTATTATTATATTATTATCAATATTATACTATTATTATTATATTCTTATCATTATTATATTATTATCATTATTATTATACTATTATTATCACATTATTAGTAATACTATAATTATATTATTATTGATTATTATATTAGTATTATTACAATATTATTATTACATCATTATTATTACATTATTATATTATTATATTTTTATCATTATTATATTATTATCATTATTATATTATTATCATTATAATATTATTATCATTATATTATTATACTATTATTATTACATTATTATAATAATAATAATAATATTAATAATATAATATTATTATTATTATTATATTATTATTGATTTTTATATTATTATTATTGATTATTATATTATCATTACAATATTATTATTATATCATTATTATTATAATATTATTATTATATTATTATATATTTATCATTATTATTATTATTATTATTATTATTATTATTATTATTATTATTATTATTATTATTATCGGAAGCGAAATATGGGCAGACGCACTACAAGCAAAATACCGAAGAAGAGCGTTAGCGTCAGTGCAGCGAACAGCAGCTCTAAGGATATGTTCAGCGTATCGCACCGTTTCAGAAGCAGCGGTTCTCGTGATTACTGGAAATATTCCTATTGACCTACAGGCTCAAGAGCGAAAAACATGTTGGCAGGCAAAACGAATAGGAAACAACAACACCGACAATCAGTTGGTAAGACGCAGAACCATTGCAGTATGGCAGCACCGCTGGGACTCAGATAACCGTGGACGATGGACTGCAAGGCTTATCCCAGATCTAAAAACCTGGCTAGCAAGAGACTTTGGTGAGGTTAACTACTACCTCACTCAGTTTCTGTCGGGACATGGATACTTTAACAGCTATCTCTATCGCATGCGCAAAGTAGAGTCTCCAAATTGCATATATTGCGAAGCGGAGGATGATACCGCAGAACACACATTCTTTGAGTGCAATAAGTGGTTGCCCGAACGAGAAGCACTTGCAATGCAAGTTGGTACCTTCACTCCCAGGACGGTAACGGGAAAAATGATCGAAAACATAACAAACTGGGATCGCGTAAAAATGTTTACTGAAAAGATCCTGAGACTGAAAAAAGTAGACCTTGACAGAAGACAACTGGAGTAAAACAGATGAATCACACAAAGACGAAGGATAAGGTTAATCACCTGCAGCAGATGCGGGGCCTGGACGCAGGTCACACCGATGGAAGTCTTAGATGACTAATAGAGACCCTACCTTGAAGTAATACTAACGTAGTCCCGGGGTAGGACAAGGTCTCTAGGAATGAGGGGGAGTTGGTTTAGTCCGTGCAAGTCGGACACTCACTTTCCGGGCCGCCGGATTGTGGTCAGTGCGTAGGCATTCCACTCCTCCTTGCCGCAAAAAAAAAAAAAAAAA